CTCAGAAAGGTTACCCATAGAAGACAATTCAGAGACTATAGCCATGTTGGTCTGGTCATATCAGTATGCAAAGGGATCTTGTAGTACCTTTGAGACTAAATGATCGAAAGATGTTGTAACCTTTTCATAGACTTGGTCTATTTCTCCAGATCCATGGAGTGAACAGGACTTTTATAATCAGACTGTATGAATAGGAAAAGAAATGCAAGCCTTGTGGGTATCGTGTTGAGGTAACAAATTCAGTCTTAACGGTGGTCTTTGAGGGACAAAGGCAGGAGGAAGGATGTTGACTAAGACCAAGGTGGATGAATGCCCCTATGAATGGTGGAGGGTTTTCGAGGTGTGATGTGTGGGGTGTGTAGGCTGAGAACCAAAAAGAAGATGTGAGAAACTGGCCAAGAATGTCTTCATGAGGCTAGGGTGGCATGGAAGGCAATGCATGCCCAAACATTTCAAACATGTCCATGTGTTCTTTTTGTTCTTTTTGGGTAATGCACCCCCTGTAATTTTGCGCCATTTTTGATAAAAGAAGAAGGGATTGTAAGTCTCCTTGCAAATGTGTTTATATGCAGTTCCCCTCATCTGATTTTCAAGATGGGTTTGTTAGAGGGCCTGGTACTAAAAGAGGATATACTTCTATGGAGCCCACCAAACATCTGGGGAAACATTGGAATTTGGTGGCTGTTCTTGCTGGAGTTAGACCATTTCTAATCAATAGAAATATAGTATCTAGATCAAGGGAAGTCATAGTGCCACTGTGTTCTGCATCGGTCAGGCCTCACCTGGAACAATCCTGTGTCCACTTCTGGGCACCACAATTCAAAAAGTATATTGAGAAGCTGGAGTGTGTCCAGAGGAGGATGACCAAAGTGCAATCCATAAATCCCTGTGAGAAATGGCTGAGGGAGTTGGGGATATTTCACCTGGAGCAGAGATGGTTCAGAGGTGATATGATAGCCCTGTTTCAATATTTGAAGGGGTGTCACACTGAGGATGGCGTGAACTTGTTTTCTGCTGCTCCAGAGATTAGGACCTGGAGCAATGGATTCAAAATATTTGCATATGAGCATGTTTTCCACTCTGCAGTTTCAGTGAAACTAATAGCTGAATGCATTTTCACTCAGGGTGCATTTGCACTGTGGCATTATAGCAGTTTGACGCCACTTTAACTGTCTTGGTTCCACCCCATGGAATCCTGGCATTTGTAATCTGGGGAGGGCTGCTTACAATTTCCCAATATAGTTGAGAGCAGTGCATTTTCAGCAGTGCTCCCTTGCAAACAAAATGTCAGTGCGCCTCCAAAACTACAAATCCCAAAGGTAGAACCATGACAGTTAAAGTGGTATCAAACTTGTATAACTGTGGGATTGCACTGTGGGATTTGGGCTACAGTATTAGCATTTATCCACTGTGCCACCCCTCCCTGCCTACTGCTGCTATCCTAATACTTTCGATGTCCCCCTCCTGCCCACTCTCTGCCCACCTCACTGTCTGTGTGTGTCTGTGTGCGGGTGTTTTCGGGGTGCCAGGCTGGGTGGAGATGCTGCAACGGTGGCAGTGGCATCATCTTCCTCTTCTTCTGCATCCTGGTGGTCCTGGTCCATCTCTCCTCCCAGCCCTTCCTTTGCTCCTTGTGGAGAAGGAGGCAACCAAGACTGGGTCCCTTTCTCGGCCAGCCATCTGGGGATGACAGCATCCATTACTATACTGGGGTCACACCAACCCTAGTGACACCAATGCTTCTCTCCCCCCCCCCCCCGCCCTGTTTTTCAAGTTCAAGAAGAGAAGCCAGACTTCTGGAACCAGCAAGCCTCCAAGGCCATCCAAAAAGCACTGGGACTTCATCCTCGGCACTACCAAGCTAAGAACCTCATCCTCTTCCTGGGTGATGGTGAGTCTTTGGAGCAGGAGCTGAGCTTAGCCGCCTTTGGAAGGGCAAATCGCACCCACTGACTGCCAGAAATAGTGCAAATTGAGTCCACTTTAAGGGTTAGGGTTAGGGTTAGGGAATCATGGGAACTGTATTTTATTGTGGCACCAGAGCTCTCTGACAGAGAAGGCTCAATGTCTCAGAAAAAACAACAATTCCCATGATTCCCTAGCACTAACCCTAACCCTAAAAGTGGACTCAATTTGCACTATTTCTGGCAGTCTGCAAAGAGTAGAACTAGGCACACCAATGCTGCTCCCAGTTTAAATGCAGAATCAACTCAGCTTTTTTAAATGGGTTGGTGGTGCGTAATGTGTAAAAGTGGTACTGGCAGGGGATGAGACCAGATCACCTTTGGGGATCCTTTCCACTTTAACATTCTATGATTCCCTTAGTCCAACAAGCTGAGAATGCTTTGGCTTCCTGCTTCTCCCAAACCTTCTCTTTCCAACAGCCAGCCCAGATGATCCGAAAGCCAACTTTCTTTACAGATCTCGCCTATGCAAAGGGCCCTCCACATTAGCTGGGGTTAGGAGCACAGGACCCCTGTGAAAGTGGGAAAACCACAAATAAAAACCCACTATTTTTTTTAATCTGAGAGAACACCACTTATAATGAATCTCTAGGTCCTCTGGAGCAACTCCAGACATTGACCATAGAATTGCATTGGAGGACCTGCAAATGCCTTCCTAAAGGCATTTAGAAGTGTTCTCTAAGAATCTCTAGGTACTCTAGTGCAGTGGTCCCCAACCCCCGGTCCGCGGCTCGGTATCGGTCCGCAGAACAAATGGTACCTGGCCACCCTGCTACTGTGTCTTCTCTGCAGCGTATTTTATGCGACGCCGCAACCCCCCCCCCCAGTGGGCCGCGGAAAAATTATCAAACATTGACCGGTCCATGGCAATAAAAAGGTTGGGGACCACTGCTCTAGTGCAACTTCTGGCGACACTGACCATAGTGACATAATGGAGGACCTAAAGATTCCTAGACAGAACATATTGATCAAATCTGCAAATAATCAAATCCACAAAAGTCAAAGTCCCAAATGTGGAGGGCCAACTGTATTTCCTAGTGGTTCTGAAAAACTAGAACTCCAGAATGCTAGGTGCAACTTAGTTTTATTGGCTTACAGCAAAGGGACAACTCTCCTCTGAAGCTCTTAAAAATTGGACAGGCTCATAGAGGGACTTTCAAGTTGCCTGGACTCAAGCTGTGTAGGGCTTTAAAGGCTATAACCATGTTTTGCTTTGTAACATGAGCGGGTCCATAGGAAGGCAACCAAAATGGTGAATAGTCTGGAAACCATGAAGCCCTATGAAGAGAGACTTAGGGAGCTGGGTATGTTTAGCCTGGCGAAGAGAAGGTTAAGGGGTGATATTATAGCCCAGTTTCAATATTTGACTGGATGTCATATTGATGATGGAGAAAGCTTGTTTTCTGCTGCTCCAGAGACTAGGACCCAGAGCAATGGATTCAAAGTACAGGAAAAGAGATTCCACCTCAACATTAGGAAAAACATCCTGACAGCTGTCCCCAACGTCTATGACAGCTGTCCCCAACTGCGGTGTTCTCCAGAGAGGCTGGACTGCAACTCCCATCATCCCTAGACAGCATGGAATGGTCAAGAGCTGGGGAGGAAAGCTCTTCTCTGAAAGGTTGCTGATCTGGGAGCAGTCATAGGGATGGGGAAAGGGTCCACATTCAGAACTTGTGGTCCTGGCACAGCAGGTTTCCTCACACTTGGGTCTGTCTCCCTGGCAGGCATGGGCATCCCCACCATCACCGCCACACGCATCCTGAAGGGACAGATGCAGAACAACCCAGGCCCTGAAACACCACTGGCTATGGATAGCTTTCCCTACCTGGCTCTTTCCAAGGTGAGACCGAAGGGACCCCTGAGTCATGAGCAATGCTTACATCCCAGGAATTTCATCTCCCCATTCCTTTCAAGCTTGGAAAAGTTAAGTTTTGGACTACAACTTCCAGAATCCCCAGGTTTCTGGAGATTATAGTCAAACATACCATCCCCAACTGTTGCTGGAAAAGGCTCCTTTCACCCATCATCTGAATGTCAGGTAATAGTTCAACCGGTGAACCCAGTTTCTTACTTTCTCCATCTACCATTGGGAGGTTGCCCATCGAAACAAAGGTTAAGACTTCTGTCCCTTTAATGGTTGTGTAGAAGAGGACATTTCAGCACGTGTTGCTTGCATGATACACGACATCTGCTGCAATATCAGTGTCTACACAACTATGAAAGGTACAGGAGCCCTATTAGGAGGACGATCTCTACCTTGCAGGCAATAAAGCTCTCAGGAAGGATCCTGACTTAAAAGCTTCTCAGGATGACAAAGGTCTGCCGCCTGAGGTGCAGAACAGTTCCAAATTCTACAACTCGTATAAATGATGCAAATTAAACTGGGTTTCTTTTGCATATTTTATTCTGGTAGCCATGGAGAAAACCAGCACACTACCCAGCAGGGTGTAAGAGATTCCAAAGCCTCTCCTGGCTTCTCCAATTTAGGTTGCAACTTTTAACATCCTCACGGAAGGCATGTGCCTCACTGAAGACAGCAGGGCTTCTATCTGTGTTAAGACTGCGCTGGGTTCATCAGTCAGTCATCATCGTCTCTAAAGTAGAAAGCACAGGTGGGAATTGGGTTGCCCTCCAGATGTTGTTGGACTACAGCTCCCATCTACTCTGAGCTGGAATAACCGATGATGAATGTTGATGGGAATTGAAGCCTGTTTACATCTGGTGTACCACAGTTTCCAGTCTTTCTCTGGAGTCTCCCTGAAGAGCACTGTGAGGATTAGAAACTTACAGTTTGTTTAAAGCCTGCCCATTGCAGGACAGTGGGAAGGTGCCCAGTTTGCACCAGTTACCAATATTCAGCCAATTTTCAAGGAGTAATCATAGGATAATTGCATAGCCACAGCTTGGGCAAGTTTCATTTTTGGACTACAGCTCCCAGAAATCCACAGCCAGCCATGTTGGTGAGCACCCACTGAAGAAAGTAGTGTTACACTTTTAGGATTGTGCTGTTCCTTAATCATCAAGCGGGTTTCATGGCAAGCTGAGAATTGAACCCTGGTCTCCAGAGTCCTAGTCCAATGCTCAAACCACTATACCACACTGGCTGGTCTACACCAGTGAAAAACTTTGAAGCCCGTGCTAGAAGTCCCAACAATATACGTACGTTTACTTCCAAAAAGGATCTGTATTTTTCTGCTTTCAACCTGACTTTCCTCTGAACTAAGCAAAGTCAGGGAAAATCCCAGTGTTTCCTGGAAAACCCAGAGTGATCTCAAGTTCTTTTGGTGTGTGGACAGCTGGATCGGGTCCAATTCAGCCTGATCCAGTTGTCCACATGTCAAAAACCAATATGCACAACAATGCAGCACTGCCCCAGATTCAGCCAGTGTATGTGTGGCTGCCAGCATGATTGGTCCAGGGCACAATGTCCAGACTTTCTCTGGATTAAGTGGCTGGTGTAGACACATCTATAGAAATTGGTATTCCCTCCGCAACAATTAAAGCCCCTCCTGAACCTAGGATAGAACAGCAATTCCCAAAATTTGGTCTTCCAGGTGTTTTGGACTCCAGCTCCCAGAAGCTCCAGCCAGCTTGGCCAATAGTCAGGAATTCTGGGAGCTAAAGTCCAAGGCATCTGGAGGACCAAAGTTTGGGAATCACTGCCATAGAGCTCTGGCTGCACTGCCATTCCGTGGCCGGTGGAGGATGGGCTAGAATCGAGAAATATCTGGCTCTGTTCCTGCCACCAGATGTGAAATGCTGACATCTGTAGAAAGCTCTGGTGGACTGCAGTGGGAACTGAGAGGATGAAGTGACCATTTCACATCTGGCTCTGGGGATATAGCCAGACACTTGTCCAATCCCTCATGTTAACCACCATGGCACCAAATGGATTATAGCTAACTCTACAATAAGTTTTGGTGATGGAGGCGAATGGCCAGCTGTAGTGCAGTTCTGCATGGGAAACTACTATGTTATGCTGAGCCATACAGGACTCCAGACACTGTGTATAAATTATGAAGCAGGGGCGAGAATTGCATACCCTCCAACTTTTCAGAAATGAAAATGGGAACCCTTGTAGCCAAGCAACCTCTGAGCATGGTCAAGATGGCAAAAGTTAGTAATAAGGAGGAACAAACAAACTAGGAGATGCTGCAGCAGTTTGATTTCCCCTCTCCTCTCCACTGACTTTTACGTCGGTGCAAACACCTTTTGTGCAGCAACTGAAATAAGCTGAGGATAAAGGAGAGGAAATAGTAATAGGAGAGAGAAATTGGAACATTTTAAAAGCAGCTGAAAACTGGGACTACAGAGGATTAATCAGGACTATCCGTGTCAATTGGAGTTTATCACACGGGACGAATCCCATGCAGAAACTAGATTTAAAGTGAAAACTACCTGCTTTTGTGGGTTATTTTTCACATGACGTTCGAGGTTAACCCAAACAGAAAGTAGAAAAAAAAAACACACCCCAAAATGTAGGTTGTTTTTCAGACGTTTGCGTGAAAGAGAAACATTGTGAAAATAACCCAAATGGAAAGTCGACAAAACTCGCTCCTTTTTACTTTCAGGAAATTCCGAAAGTAGAAAGGAGTGTTTTTTTGTTCACTTTCCATTCGGGTTATTTTCACATTATTTCTCTTTCTGCCAACGCGTCTGAAAAACAACCTGCATCTGCGGGTGTTTAGCAGATTTTAAAATCCCGTTTCTGTACGGGATTTGTCTCCGTGTGATAAACTCCAATTTTTAAAAAAATATTAACTTTTATTTGGAGGGTATGGAATGGTGCTCTGCACATAGCTAACAAAACTGTTCACCATTTTGCTTGCACTTTTTCCTCTTGTAATGGGCTGCTAGAAAGGGTTGCCAGTCCTTTTCTTGCCTAGTAGGAGAGCTGGCCCTGTTGCATCCCTCTTCTCCCTGCCAGCTCACTCAAAGGTTCAGGACCCTCCTAGCCAAATCCTCTTTGGTTTTGGGTAGACATACAACGTGGACCGACAAGTGCCAGACAGTGCTGGCACTGCCACCGCCTACCTCTGCGGAGTGAAGGGCAACTATCAAACCATCGGACTGAGTGCGGCTTCCCGGTACAATGAATGCAACACGACCGCCGGCAATGAAGTGATCTCTCTGCTGAAGAGGGCCCAGTTGGCAGGTAAGGATCAAGAGCGTGTCCAGAGGAGGGTGACCAAAATGGTGAAGGGTCTGGACACCATGCCCTATGAGGAATTGGGTCTGTTTAGCCTGGAGGGGAGAAGGTTAAGAGGTGATATGATAGCCTTGTTTAAAAACTTGAAGGAGTGCCATTTTGAGGATGGAGCAAGCTTCTGTTTCTGCTGCTCCAGAGACACAGAGCAATGGATGCAAACTACAGGGAAAGAGATTCCGGCTCAACATTAAGAGGAACATCCTGACAGTAAGAGCTGTTGGACAGTGGAACACACTCCTTCCTTGCAGATTGTGGTGGAGTCTCCTTCCTTGGGAGACTTTAAACAGAGGCTCGATATCCATCTGTCGGGGATGCTTTGATTGGGAGTTCCTGCATGGCAGAAGGGGGTTGGATTGGATGGCCCTTGGGATCTCTTCTAACTCTATGATTCTATGATCCTAGGGGAGAAGTGGGCAAGACGTATGGCTCCCTGGCATGCTGGTATATTTGGGTTGTTTAAGTCTGGTTCCATATTGGAACCATATTAGATGCCCCAAATCCTGTACCCCTTGATGTTTTGAAACCAGATACCTGGTCTGTCCAATTCCAACAGACCACATCTCCTCCAACATTTCAAAGATGAAAACCAGGGGAACACATAGCCAAGCAACATCAGAGTGTGGTCAAGATGGCAAAAGTGATTAATGAGGACCAACATACAAGGGAGGCGAGGTTATCGCAGATTGCTTTTGCCTGAGCCAACTGCTCCCTCCTGCTCTTTCTCCCCTCCTGAGTTAATTGAAGAGTAGTTCTTTTTGCACTTTGGACTCAGTTTTCGGTAAGTGAAGTAAGCCAAAGGGAGAAGGCGGAAGGAGGAGAGAGAAAATGAGGCATTTTTAAAGCAGCAGAGATTAACTGGGGATAACAGAGGATTTTGTCCCTGCCAAATCAGAAGAGTTGGAAGGTATTAGGCCAACCTCCGAACAATTTGTACACAGCAGTCAGGCCTCATTACCTAACTTGTAATGTTGTTTTAATTTGCTGTACGCCACCTTGATTGCGCTGAAGAGAGGCGGCATATTATTATTATTATTATTATTATTATTATTATTATTATTATTATTATTATTATTATTATGTACCAAATGCAGAGGTCTGCCTGCTGGGACCACAGCTGGTATGGACTTGTGATCCTTTTTTCTCTCTTCCTAGCCAGGCAAAACAGACCCCACATCCCATATTTTTCTAGCCAGTATAAGTAGGAATAGAGGGCACCAGCCATACTCAACACAAATAAACCCTGGAGCATTTGATGTGCAGCAAAATGGCCTCACATTATAGAACAAATGCTACAGATGCCCTTCTGTTGTGATTGTGGCTGGTGCCTATTCCTCTTGCTTTCAGCAACCAGTCGCAGGTGTCTGTGGTGAGTTGGATGCAATTCCAGGCTCTGAAAAGGTCTCAGAGCTCTAATCCCAGTTCATATAAGAGCTTTCATTGACCCATCCAGCTTGGATAGTTCTATTTCCCCGAATCTCTCTCTCTTTCTCTCTCTTTTCAGGCAAATCTGTTGGGATTGTGACCACCACCCGGGTCCAGCATGCATCACCAGCGGGCAATTACGCTCACGTGGTGAACCGGAACTGGTACGCAGATTCCAGCATGCCCCAGTCTGCCATCACAGAAGGCTGCAAGGATATTTCCGAACAACTGGTGAAAAATGTGGACTTCACGGTAAGTGCATGGCAGAAGGGGGTTGGACTGGATGGCCCTTGTGGTCTCTTCCAACGCTATGATTCTATGACAATCTCTTCTTCTACCACAGTACTACCTGTCTCACCAGCCCAAAGAGTTGGAGATAATTTTTCAGTAGTGTTTGAGGCCAAAATCTGAAAGGTCTGGCCAAAAGTACCAAGCATATTTTATCTTGAAGCTGGGACAACAAATAGAAAGCCGAGCCTCTTTGGTTGATGATCTCAGGCTTAACTTGGTTCATAGGGGTGCAGCTAGTCCTTCAGATAACCCAGTCCCAGGGCATTTGGGGTTTCAATGGCCACATGGTCACTCTGCCCCACTACACATGACTCCTCTCTTAAGGCCCAGGAGCAGGTTAGTTAATTCCCTGCCTCTTAGAATCATAGAATCATAG